TCTTCGAAGTACACCTGCAGGTCACTCCATCAAGTCCGGAGGTAAGGTCTCAACATAACTAACAAAACGAGCCCAAACTCGGCACACCTAGCTCCACTCGTCTATTAGTTCCAGTAGCAGTCTTCGAAGTACACCTGCAGGTCACTCCATCAAGTCCGGAGGTAAGGTCTCAACATAACTAACAAAACGAGCCCAAACTCGGCACACCTAGCTCCACTCGTCTATTAGTTCCAGTAGCAGTCTTCGAAGTACACCTGCAGGTCACTCCATCAAGTCCGGAGGTAAGGTCTCAACATAACTAACAAAACGAGCCCAAACTCGGCACACCTAGCTCCACTCGTCTATTAGTTCCAGTAGCAGTCTTCGAAGTACACCTGCAGGTCACTCCATCAAGTCCGGAGGTAAGGTCTCAACATAACTAACAAAACGAGCCCAAACTCGGCACACCTAGCTCCACTCGTCTATTAGTTCCAGTAGCAGTCTTCGAAGTACACCTGCAGGTCACTCCATCAAGTCCGGAGGTAAGGTCTCAACATAACTAACAAAACGAGCCCAAACTCGGCACACCTAGCTCCACTCGTCTATTAGTTCCAGTAGCAGTCTTCGAAGTACACCTGCAGGTCACTCCATCAAGTCCGGAGGTAAGGTCTCAACATAACTAACAAAACGAGCCCAAACTCGGCACACCTAGCTCCACTCGTCTATTAGTTCCAGTAGCAGTCTTCGAAGTACACCTGCAGGTCACTCCATCAAGTCCGGAGGTAAGGTCTCAACATAACTAACAAAACGAGCCCAAACTCGGCACACCTAGCTCCACTCGTCTATTAGTTCCAGTAGCAGTCTTCGAAGTACACCTGCAGGTCACTCCATCAAGTCCGGAGGTAAGGTCTCAACATAACTAACAAAACGAGCCCAAACTCGGCACACCTAGCTCCACTCGTCTATTAGTTCCAGTAGCAGTCTTCGAAGTACACCTGCAGGTCACTCCATCAAGTCCGGAGGTAAGGTCTCAACATAACTAACAAAACGAGCCCAAACTCGGCACACCTAGCTCCACTCGTCTATTAGTTCCAGTAGCAGTCTTCGAAGTACACCTGCAGGTCACTCCATCAAGTCCGGAGGTAAGGTCTCAACATAACTAACAAAACGAGCCCAAACTCGGCACACCTAGCTCCACTCGTCTATTAGTTCCAGTAGCAGTCTTCGAAGTACACCTGCAGGTCACTCCATCAAGTCCAAAACTAAATATGAAATCTATATTCCTATAAGTATATGAAACTGTGTATAAAATCTTACCTTGGTTGTCTGTAGTCGGTGCAGAATGCGTGAAGTATCAAGTTTGGTAGGGCAAATATTTTGTGTTCGTACAGCGATATTTTCGTAAACGAGGAGCTGCTTACAAGCGACACAGTGTCCACTCACGACGGCGCCCGAGCGCAAACTAAAATTTCATTACAAATTTTTGTGCAATAAATCAAGTCTAGTGACCAGGAAAATAACCCTTATTTCAATCCAATAAGTATCTTTCGTTACGGCTAATAATGTGTAAAAATAAGATTCGATTTTACTTTTGTTTTCAGCCTATTTGTAACATTTTGATAGATTTTTTTTCTACCTTTTTGAGTTGGACATATCTGCTTACGTAAAATATTTTTAAATAATTATATTTGTGTTATTAAATAAAAGAAAAATGATCCTCAAGTCAGCACGATTTCGTCAATTTTGTGTGAAGAGGCAACAGAAATTATTTTTTACAATATTATAAACCAAAATTATCAAATAAAAAACTACTACCATTTGAAGATTAAGAAGTAATCTATCTGTGGTCATTTTTAGTTACATTTGATTCTATATTATTTTGCCGCAAAAACCACCGAAAAACTGCTTATTTTTGTTAGATTCGTAAACGCGTCCTTAAGAAATAAAATAAAAAAAGTTAATTAAGATGCTTAAACTGTCAAACACCGCGAGGACACCGGTGACCGCAACCTATTGTTCTTTAATTGTGTCTATAATGACGGTACTCGACGAGTTAAAGTGTTGTAACTGCAGAGAATATTCAGAACAAAACTTAAATCCACCAATAAAAATCACTTTAAACGAAATGCTTATAAAATATTAGACAGAACGCTGAACAGATAGTTGTAATCTTCATTTGTGAATCGACTCACTGAACCGAGGTGTATGATACCGACGGATTAATCCCAAGCTCGCGCCTGATTGTGATAACTGTCACGAATCATCACACATTCATGTTAATTTTATTTTGGGTAAACTAGGTTTTAGACATGTGTTGAATAGAACAGAAAAGTATCATAATTATAGTGATGATGGGCCAATGGATGATAAACGATGGGTGATTGGAATGGGCCGGCTCGACCGGAGTAATACCACGACCTCAAAGTCAAAAGTTAAAGTCAAAATCATTTATTTCAATTAGACCAGGAAGGCACTTTTGAACGTCAACAACAAATATTTAGAAGTGAAGCTAGTTGCTCATTCCAAGGTGTGGATTCCTATGTAGAAGAACGAGCAAGAAACTCCATAGGTTACTGTTTCTCAATCGGGTTTACAATACAATTGTCTAGTTACATAGTTTTGTTTGTTCGATTTGGAAAGTGACGTGAAGCAACGCTTGCGTTGTGTGAGTGAGGTTACCGGAGGCCCTAAAACTATTTCCTAAATCTATTTATGTCAATTTCGTGAATACCTCTTTTACAGCAACATATTTTGTAGAATGAGGTCAGAGGAATCGGCTGATTGCAGGTCGCTTCCAAGAACAATCTGTAATTCATTGAGAACGGCCTATGTTCAGCAGAGGATGACTTGTGGCTACGATGACGACGATGATGATATTTCTGTTTATGATTTGTATTCAAGTTGCAGGTGCGACTTGCAGGGCAAAGGATCTCAGGTTCGATTCCCGGGTCGGGCAAAGTATGACAGGGTTGTAAAAAAACATCTCAGTAGTTTGGCAAGGAGTCTGGAAATGGACCCGGTGTATGGCAATAGGCTCACCCCCTATTACATGGAAATCGTAACATAAATAGTGAAAAGTGGGTGTTACATTGTATAGTGGTATTAAGTGCCATAATGTGCACCTCTACTAACCCTTTCGGGGGTAAAAAGGCGTGTTATGTTATGTGATTTATACCTATAAATGTATTCAAACTGTTTTATTTTGTTGCAGTCAAAATGCGTTTCATCATATCCGCCATGTTGTTGCTGTCCGCCATTTTGTCGTGCGCGACGCAGGCGCAGTACCCGCGGCCCCGTCGCCCAGAGCGCTTCGATACCGCTGAACAGATCTCCAACTATCTCAAGGAATTACAGGAGTATTATTCCGTGCATGGGAGAGGAAGGTAATCATATGGGTTTTCATTTTTTTTCACAAGCCACCTGGGGTCTCTCTTTTCTTACGCTCAGGATCATATACGGAGCAACCTACCTGGGATGCGTGTGCTACGGGACACTTGTCTGGGCTGATAGGGCCACAAAAAATATGGGTTTTCTTTTTTTCACCATTATTCATCTGTGGTGACCACAGGAAAAAAACACACGTAGAAGCAACGGCACATGTGAATTCCTCTTGATTTCTTATATATTATTATATTCTTAATAGTAGGTACTTAGATTTAGTTTTAGGCCTAAACTATCACAATGCAGAAAACTACATATAGTGATAGTTTTAGGTAAGGTTTTAAATAAATAAATTGTTAAATACAAATAGTTTTACTTATTGAAAAAGGAAAGAAGAAACAAAAACAGAGATTTAATCCAACGATTAGCGAAGTCGTATGTTGACTACAGTGCAACGAGAATCTCGTATGGTACACACGGCCACATATCAATCTATACTAAACCAGTTTATCCTGGTGTCGCGTCACATCATCTTTCCGTACATTTAACGTTCAGTTTATACTGGTTATGTAAAGCTCGATGTGTAGCCGTGCGTATAACTCTTTGCGTGGTCTACAAATTATATAGGTACATAGTTATAAGACTAAATCTTATGATTTAGAATTCCATAAAACTAATGTGTTGCTTCTTAAAATGAAGATACGACATTTAATGTTTTATTATTCCATAAATTCTTTAACACAATATTCTTATAATATTGACGTTTAAAAAATCCACAGACTATTTGACAATTCTAATCAAATCAAAATTAAAGAAAACCTTTTTTCTTTACATACATATTTCGTAAACGCACCCTTAGTGAAATCTGTGTATGAAAAAAAGGGGAGCGGGACTCCATCTTGTGTTAATTCGATTGACGTTGCAATTTCAAAAGTACCATGCTGGGCGCCAAAAACTTTAATGTTTATATTGGTACTAAAAATATTGATTCGTGCATTTCTTGTTTGGCTTGTTCTGTTTGGAGAATCTTTGCCTACATTGCACTTTGTGGTCTTGATGATAAGTCCCGTGTTGGGCGCCAATATCAAAGCGGTAGTATAATATGAAACTGTCCCACATTGTTTTCATTTATTCAATTTCTATTCCAATTCTTATTTTGTAAGCTAATATCACCATCACTTCACCTACCTATTTGAAAAGCTCGCTACTTCACGCTAGATGACACTATTACAGTAATAATTACTTCAATGAAAAACAGCGCCATCTTTCCTCATAACACGGAACTACATTTTAGATTACGCTTCGTGAACCGTATATGTATGTTTTCTGACATTAGACCTATAATTTTATGTTTCATTTTAACGTTTTTATTTTTTTACAGATACGGCAAGCGACAAATGCATATAGCTGATGCTTCCGTGATCTTCAGAGAGAGTCCATTCTTCGAACACAACCTCAATGACGAACCTGTTTTCAAAAACCTTGGCTATAAGTAAATACAATACCTAATAAAATAAATATGTATAAACAATACGTTACAACACAATAATCCAGGAAAAAATACTTATTTGTCAATACTTATTGTATTTATTTACTTAAATTATTTAGCTAATTTATTATTGTGAGGCATAGAAGTCAATTTGTCATTATTATTGCAATAATTTTGTTTGTAAAATAACCTTCATCAAACAGTTATAGAAACACAAATACTATAACATATTGGAAAGAACATGAAACTGTTTATTATTCATGAAATCGTGTGATGAGTTAATTTTTTTAAATAGAATTGGAATGAGCGATTTTCTCGTTTAAAATTGCTACCTCTTTAGCAAAAAGCATTGTAAAATTATCTCAGAATTCAAAGGTATTTACTTTAAAAATAATAAATTGTTTAATCATCTCAATACATCACAAAATTATCCGGTCTGTGCATATATACCTCTACTTTCCAATTATACCTACTTATAAAGGAATAAATTGCAAGCCAGAAGCTATTCTGTTAATTTATAAAAAAATACGATTTCCAAAAACGAATCTAGTCAAATGCAAAACCTGTATAGTCAGCTATCTAGTCAATTAAAATTATTTCCAGCTTTTTTATTAACAAAATAGATATGCCAAAATAATAATCATAAAAATAGTTAACAAGCTGGGTGTACAACTATTTTTATGATTTACATAAATATTATGATTCACATTATTTATTTTATGATCTAGATTATAAAAATAATTATGTAATAAATAAATAATTAATATACAAACGAATGTTATTAACATTGTATGTAGTATTTATTCTAAATGCAAAATTGTTTCATGGCTCTCTTGTTTTATTGCGTAACCTGTCCAAAATACGGAAAACAAATATTTAAATAACACTTGAAATAACTTAAAATAACAGTGTACGTGTGTGTGTGTGTGTTTTTTTTTATATCATAAGCCGGTAAACGAGCAGACGGATCACCTGATGGTAAGCAATCGGCGCCGCCCATGGACACCTGGAACACCAGAGGCGTTACAAGTGCGTTACCGGCTTTTTGGGGATTAGGAATTTGAGGGTCGTTGGGGAGATTGGGAAGGGGAGGGTAATTGGGCCTCCGGTAACCTCACTCACACGACGAAACACAACGCAAGTTTAAAAAAGAATTGAAGGAAAGGGTGTGAGAAAAGCTCTAGGTACTACATTTTATCAATGAAGTACGAGTCACAGAGGTATTCTTCCTCGTGAGTAGCGTGTGAGGTCGCGGCGACGTCGCGCAGCCTACCCAGTTAGGGCTCGTACACAAAACTGCGATACGTCGTCGCATCGCAAACAAGTGCGAGCTCCCTCGCTTACGAATCGCTAGAGATCGCATCGTGCATCAAAATCTTATCTTTCCAAAATATTCTTTGTTTCTTTTTCCAGTATCTCCTAAGCAATAACAAAAGTGCACAGTTTTTACGATCCAAGTCACGAGCTAGTTTTCAACTTAAAATACTTTTAGTACGGTTGACCGTCGTCGAAGGAATTATCACCCTGGGAGACACCTTGTCGCACGAAATCGCATCGCAACAATTCGCATCGTAATTTTTTGCGTTGCAAATTCGCATCTCATCGCATCGCAGTTTTGTGTACGAACCCTTAGTCAGAAAGGAGTAGAGCTTTTCTCAGTATATTTAGGTACGTAATACACCGTTATTTTTAGTTAATTCAATATCTCTAATGCTACATTTCCACTCTCGCGTGAGTGGACACGAGGTTGAGGTACATTGCAGTCTTATAATGCGAGTAAGACTACAATTCTTCTAGAATAACGACAATGTAACTCGCCCATATCACGATAGTTATAAAAATAATGTAAAACTTTTTAATTCCCAAAGGGATTGGCAGAGACACACATAATACAATGTAACACTCATTTTTGTCACCAGTTATTTTATGAGTCCCATACCTCTAAAATAGGGTTGAGCCTTTTATCATATAACAGGCATTTTCTATATTTCAAGCTATCAGACCCATTCAATTGGGTACTTTCCTTAATCAAAAATAAATTATTTCGACTGTTCAATACAATGAAATATTAAGAAAGGGTACTATGAAGTGATCTACATAGTACCGTACTACCTACATAGTGTAAATAAGCATGTTTTTTGCGCTTACATTGCAAACGCTTGCTAAACCCTACAAGATAGACCAAAAACATGTACTACAGTATTGTATGCATTAATTATCTAATGACAAAAAACATGTGAACGTTATATATAAGGACATGCTGTAGTAGGTATATTTACACAAGTATGGCACCCGTGCGAAGCCGGGGCGGATCGCTAGTGTAATTTATATTTTATGGACCTACGTTTGACCACTATCTCACCTGCTGGTAAGCGTTGATGCGGTTTTACGATGGAGGACGTCGACCCATAAGCAATCTATTCACTCGGGCCTTGAAGACACCCAGGTTATCCACTTCAGGAAATACAGACTCTGGCAAAGAATTCCACTCTTTAGCAGCACGCAAGAAAGTTTGATGCGAAGCGCTTCGTGAGCGTAGGTGGGACATCTACCATGAATCGACGCTTCACCGATTGTCTTGCAGTACGATGATGGATAGGACTAGGGAGAATCAAGTTGAGCAATTTTCCCGCACACTCACCGAAATGTATCCGGTATGTAACCTATTTTTAATAATGACATAAATATGTGTTTTCTCTTAATAATCTATGCAACCACCGCCATTTTGAATTACTTCCCTCCAATTAAATTTTTCATTATAGGAGTGATCAAATGACATCTTGACCAAGTTATTGAATTTCAAATCGTAAATATAAGGTGTTAAGGTTGGAATTAAATTAGGAGGTTATAATGGAAATGGCTAGTTATATTTATTTGACGTGTGAAAAGAAAGACTATCTGTTTGTTTGTTGATAATTTTTAAAGTTAAAACTAGCTGATTTGGTGATCATATTTTATAATGATAATCAAGTTGAAGCCTGAATTCAAAGATCTATTACTTTTATTGTTTATGTTAGGAGTAAATAGGTAATTTACTAGATTACAGCAACCGAAGTAGACTCAAAAACTAGTGTCTCAAAGTAAAGTTTTAAAAATGTTTATTTAGCCAAGAGATATGTAAAAATCGTAGCTATTGGCGTTCCAAAGTGTCTGCGTACCTCCATAGGAGCCAGTATAGTATGCCCTACGGTGGGCGCCAATAAATTTTCTTTGCTTATTGATTTTAGCCATAAGTTTATAAAGTTAATTGTATTAAACTAATGGATAATATGAAAATGGTTCATACGTTCTCGAGAATCATTAAAGTAAAAGTCAAAATCATTAAAGTATACATTTATAACAAACTTATGGAACATTATTATACAACTGATAAGTAGTAAAAATGCCATAAATATATCGTATACTGTCAAAAAGGTTTTATTAATATTTTCAAGGAAGTAAGATAAGATGATCTGGAACGAGAAAAAATTACATGCGTATCCACTAAATCCTATAAACCATAGTTACCCGTAACATAAATAACCGTTAACTTCCTCCCATACCTAAGAAAAATAAAACACAATTTATTTCAATTAAACGACAAACGAAACCGCAGGAATCACTTGTATGTATATCACATTACAGCCAATTAAGAACCCACCTTCCTCATTATAAAATAAGGTGTAAATTAGCTAAATAACCTTGTCTAGGGATATAATATTACATATCACATTACCACTAATTTGAAACATACCCTCAGCTCTACAAAATAAGGTGTATTTTAGTTTGATTGTGTAATGGAACTTTGGAACGTCAAATCGAAACTAAGTGGATTATAAACAGTTTGCGCGCGCAACTGCGATGTTGTGTTTTAATGGCGGATGGCGCTTTCTAGTTGACAATATTAGTTTACGGAACAGGTATTTTGGAATAGTTATTTGTAACAGGTATTTGTGATATCTTAACTAATAATATACATACCTAATAACCTAATTAATGGTAATATTTAGATATTAATTAATATTATGTTAGTCGTTATCTAATTAGGTCATGAAATATTTACCATAATACTTAGCACATTTATTAAATATCATCATCACTAGAGACATAGCATGGAAGAGATTGATATTGATGATGCCACCCAACATGGGACCTTTTGGTTGATGGCGCCCAACATGGGACTTAACCTTTTACAATCAAAAGTAAACTAAAAGTAAATAAATTGGAACTCATAAGCTAATATTATTAATTAGACATATTACACTTATGATACAATGTAATAAATGAAACGACAAACAAGTTGAATGTTGTTGGCGCTCACCATGGGAGCTATTTGACACTCTTTATTTTAAAAATCTATGTTGTGACTGTTTTTTACTATTTATAACATTAACCTTATATAACGAAAATAAAAATAACGTGATATCTGTTACGTGAAAAGGAACAAATATTTTAGCAACTGATAGAATCGAAGTCGACCTCAATAAGCGCTTAGTAGTCGCTGTGCAGGAAGAGAGCGACTTAACATATTTTTTACTCGACAAAATTCTATATTTTAAACTAAATATTAACCGATATTGAATATTTTATACAACTTTTCTACTTGAATAATATTTTTGAGAGAAAACTCTATTGCTAAAGTGAAATTTTGTACAATTTGTTAAATAAACATTTCATATCAAATGTAATTCGTGAATTAATGTGTTATTGAGTTCGATATAGCGTGTTTTAGTTCATCTTAATACGTAAATAACAATATACAGGTAAATATTACTTAATTTCGATCATTTTAGTAGAAATATCGCGAATAATCGGGAATAGATGCATAGAAATCGAATAAAATCAGCTGTAGTTACCGCGGAAGTCGTAAAAACCTTTTTAGGTCAATTCTGGGTTACTGGCTAACAGTTATTTTTATTTTTTTTGTCAATACCAGCAGCCCTGATTTTGTGCGCGTACATCCTGTTATTTATTTCGAGAAGAAATTTCGAAATATCTTGTGTTCGTCTAAGAAGCTGTATTGAGCAAGTTTCAGGTTTCAATAAGTCATATTAAGAAAAAAATATAGATAGATAAAGATATTTATTCCTGTAAAATATGAATACAGATTATTAATAGGTCATATAAAAATTAAAAACTAAATGTTTTGCCAATTAACATTTTAAGTTTGTAGTTTCAGCTGTGCGTTGCCTGTCAGTCACCAATGAAGAGAGGGAATCATTTTAGTTGATCATATAAGTCTTTTCCTTAGAATATAGAAATTCAAATGAATTCAAAACAGAATGATCTTTAAAATCTTTAATTGACGAATTTATATCAAAGTTGTCTAAATGTACCAAAGTAATACATTTTTTTTTGAAGCAATTAGCAATGCTATTTACGACTTTGTGTAACAAAATTACTTTGTTAAAAATCGTCAGTTAATCAAGCCATAACTGCAAAAAGTGATCCATTTCAGAAAATGGCCCCGGTAAAGTTCGGTCTGTTCAAGGCTCGAAGCAGGGACTATCAGGAGCAGCCCTCCACTGAGAACCTACTGCACACGAGTCATAGCAGCGACCATTGTAAGTATACGTAAAGACAGATCTCAATTAAATTTTATGTATTAGGTTATACATACTTTTTTTAAGGGGGAAAAATCATGGAATAACTGCTCCCGCCTGGGTGAGGCAGAAGAGAGTGTCAGACTCTTACTGACTAATAACCACCCCGTTCCTTCTCCTGCACTTCGAGCCGGTATACTAGGGTGCGATGTTTCTTAGGATAAGAAAAATGGAGGATTCCTCCTTTTTTCAGTTTCATTCCTGGCGAGTTGCTTCCCAACAGCTACTTTGCTGTTTATTTGTGCACAAAGTCCAGCGGTATAGGACTCATCGCGTCAGATGATGTTGTTTTTATCGTTGATAGTCCTTCCATGTGCATCGCCACTAAAGGAATCGGGCTGTACACAGTCCTGTAGCAACAAAGCATCCCACCGGATGGTAAACCGACACCTTAGCCTTATTAACATAACATCACGCCTTTTATCCCCGAAGGGACTGGCAAAGGTGCACATTATGCCACTGTACAATGTAACACCCACTTTTCACTATTTATCTTATAAGTCCCAGGTAATAGGGGATGAGCCTATTGCCATATACCGGGCACAATTCCAGACTCCGTGCTACTACTGAGATTAAAAAAAAAACTCAGTAGTACTTTGCCCGACCCGGGAATCGAACCCGGGACCCCTTGCCCGGCAGTCGCACTTGCAACCACTCGGGTAATGAGGCAGTCATTAATTACTTAGCCTAAATAGTACTGAAAATATCAGGTCATAGGAAGGTTAGGAAGCTGATTAATTCCGCCATCATTTTCGAAAGCAAATAAAAATCTCTTACTAGCTGACCTGGCAAACTTCGTACCGCCTAACTTTACAAACCTTTCCCGGACTTCCACGAATACAAGACCAAAATTAGCAAAATCGGTTCAGCCATTCTCGAGTTTCAGAGAGACTAACGATCAGACATACATTTTTATTTATTCTCTTACAGTGGGCACTCCATCTTCTCCTATACCTTCAACCAGCAAGGGCATGCTGGAAGACACGGCTTCAGCTGACCTTTCCGTGCTCAATATTGACAGCGAGGATGATGTAAGTCATTTACATTTAAAGAGATACTTGGTTAAACGATGAGACATATCATTTGATGGGAGGACAAACGAGCAATCCTATCAACTGATGGTAAGCAATCAGCGCCGCCCATGGACATTCGCAATACTAGATGATAAGAGAAGATGAGAAGACCAACCCTCTTCCAAAGGCTTTGTACATTTTCTTCTAGGACATCCTCGGTGTAGGTTTTTTTTTAAATCGTTACCCCTCTCTAGGGTTTTCTCCTGTGATGTGTCACGATCACACAATGAGCTGGTCCGTGCGGGAATCTAACCCGCTACATGTTGCGCAGTTGCCCAGCCACCGCGCCAACTGTGCAGTCGAAAGTGTAGGTCAATATCTGCACCGAGAGTGTTATGTACCTACATATCTACATGTCATAATTACAATTTATTACAATGTGTTTTTGTAATTATAGGACACAATATCACAACAGAACATAGTAACTCGACGCGTCAGTGATACCAGCAAGATAGAAGAGTCACAGGTAAGTGGAACTACATAGTTAATTCTTCGTTTCTTATAGTAGGTATAATAATCCTATATCTTTTAAAGAATAAGCAGTGCTTTCTGTCTTACAGTGCACTCACTCTATTGAGGAAACGTTTCAGTCTCTTTTCTTGGCGCCATAAAGAGATTCGATACCATTCCGAACTTATTTGCTGTCGAAACTTTCGAAGTAAAGTAGCTTTTAGATGCTCATTCCTCCAGAAGACTTAAAAGACCGATAACCCTTCTCTTGTCCGCAGATAAACTATCAACCCCTTAAAAACCAAGCATCAGCAGACGCTACATCCATGTCTACCCTGAACTCCGACCAAGAAGACCATGAGACCACGTTAGTAGACGATGGAGATGGCGCGTCTACTTCCTGCGATGTCCTCTCCTTACAATTTGATGAGACGTCGATAGCTGCCAGCGAAGACCTGTCGGTCTATTGCGGGACTCTGAAGAAGACCAAGAAGATTAGAAGTAAGGAAGAGAAGCAGTTACGAGACTTGGATATGTGGCAAGCTAGTAATGTGGAGGTTATGCAGGTTAGTAAAATAAAATTATTATCTCATTCTTCAAATGGACGGCTCTGTCCGTATATGCAGATGAAATAATTAAGTTACACTGCTCGTTGGATAAACAGGCTATAATAACGAAAGATAATAGTAATAAGTAATATACTTTGACTCGGATGCTTCATCTCATCACATACCAGTAAGTATAGTTATTGTCAAAGTTTAAGTAAAACACTTTCTTCACCAGAACCTCCTAAGCAGAAGTGGCACATTGGATGACCAAATAAAATGGGAGGCCATAGCTACAGCTAGAGGTCTTTGCACTCTGAAAGACAGCTGCACATGTGACGATTGTGTGAGGGCGAAATACCTCGCAGGAGTCACTGATGGCGACGGAGGCCTGGGCGCTGCGCCCCTCTTCAACGCCATAAGTGTCGGCTGCATTGTCCAGTAAAGGGTCAAAGGATAAAAGGACTGGATGTCAGTTTTGACATGTGTTATGTGTCATCTGTCATTGGAAAATTGGCGGCAATGTGTTTTGTTTTTATTGGTGGTAATTTCGCAGTGTATTTTGTTGGGTATTGTTGTTGGTTTTTTGAACTCTGCAGTATTATAGTTACGGTTTTAGTTTCTACATATTAAACATCTATGTAACCTAAGAGCTGCCTCAAGTTTTAATCCTAATCACCATTACTAGGTAGGTAACTAAAGAACTTAAATCACGGAACCGATTTTATATTTATGTCACAGCCCTCAGCGTATTTTCTGATCTTTTCATTCTAAGAAGCACTGCAGAGTTAAAAAAACAATTAAGTAATTATACGGCTGGGCTATGCAATGTGTGTATTACATAATTATAATATGAACTACTTATATAGACTTTAGTGCATAAAATTAGCCTTATTTTAAACCCTGCATTATCACTAATCATTGTATTCTATATACAATACATTGTGTTGTTTTTAAACACACAAGTTTTACTGTTGTATCTTAAAATGAATGAGAAATAGAGCTGAATCTTGCCCGATATATGACGTCATTAATGCAAGAAACAGCTCTTTTTCATTGTAAGATACAAACACCACTTTTACATAATTTGTGTGTGTAATTTATATTATTCCCACGGTAACCAATTTATTACTAGTATGAAATATATTAAACAAAGAAAGGAGCTGATTCTTTTGCTTGTCAGCTATAAGATATTTCTACTATTTTGTCATTTTCTTATGATACAGATTAGAAGTATCACATAACTTCCCTGCTTCTTTCATTACGAGACAGACATTTTAAACTAAACGATTAAAAATAATTATACTTAGTATTCTGTTTAGTTGACGAATAAAAGAATGAGCTCCTAATCATTTTATTAGTCTGACATAAATATTGAAGGCGCGCCTTCTATGTAGCTTGTGATAAATGTCTAGTCAATTTAGATAAGTGTAATATTTACGTATTACCCCGTATTGTAATTCGTAATAATATCATGTTCGGAAAAATTCAATACACCTTTTCTCTACAATAAAATCTTCCTATTGTACTCTAAACTGTTACCTTTTACATTTGAATAAAAATTTAGTTTTGGTCAATTTTGTACTATTATCATTAAAAGTTGTTGAACCTATCCTAGGGGTACAGTACAAACCTTTGATTTAAAACTAGCCTTAGTTTGAATTGTTTAAATAATGTTTTCTCTGAGTATAAAATTCTGGACTGTCACAATATAAATAGAATTTTTAAATTATCGTTTCAAATACTTTTTGATTATATGTGAATCTTTTTCAATTACCTACCTTTCCATTTGTGTAATAAAATGTCTACTAATGGCAGAAAGAAGAAAATTAAGTTAATTTATGGCTTTATAACTTTTTTGGTTCAAAATATAGAAAATGTTCTCTCAACCATGACTAATGAATATTATAACTTAGTGGTAGTTCTATTTGTGTGTTCTCTCGTGTAATTTTGTCGTTGCAGGCTGCAAATTAGTTAGTAAGTGTATTTTCTATAAAATAATAACTAGTTAAGGATTGGTACCCGGGTAGGGCAAACTTATTGTTACATTTTCAGAGTTGGGCTGTAGTCAAAGGGACTAATATGGGTGAAAATTGAGTTCCCAGTAAGTATACGTCTGCTTATCCCTTTGGAGATTAAAGGCGTAACGATTTGTTATGTAATGAATTTTCCCAAGTATGATATTGTATAGCATTAATTATATAATTAGTATCACGTGAATTATTCTCAATCTGCAAGCGATTTGACAAGATGGCCTCTGTGTAATTCCGTGTAAGACTGAAACGTTTTCTCTATTGTATATTTATATAGGAATGGGGGAGGTATGGGAGTGAAAATACATATAAATGTGAAACCACTATTTATTGGTACTAAACTGTGGGAGCTATGTACATCTGTTTGTAATTTTGTATCTTGAAAAAAATTTGGGCCATTTTTGACTGCATTGTATGTTACTCTTTTATAATAGCATTTGCACTGTGTGACCTTAAATATATTTGTGTGGTTGGAACATATTTTAGTTTCTTTTGTGTCTATTTTCTTCCATCGTCATTAAAAAACGAAAACCACTGGTTTACAAAAGACATGTAGGTAAATGCTATTATAAAAGTGTCGAATTTGTCTAAACATTATATTCCTGCTGGCGGGAATATTGTCTACTACTAGTTTTTTCTCAGTACTGTCTCGAACTATACAAGATTCACCTACAGGCTAGGTTTTCTTAGTATAAATGTGTAGTTAGATCAAGTGTATTTAGTATTTAATATTGTAGTTTTTTCATGGATGTTTAGAAACACAGTGGTTCAGAATATATGGTATTATAGTTGAAAGATTGAGCTCTGTATTGATACAGAATATGACACTTTTGACGCACTATGAAAGAGTTGATTCCACATTCTATTCTTATGAAAAGTACTGATGTGAGTTATGAATAAATTAAATCATAACATAATATATTTTATAGCATTAGCAGCACGTTAATGCAAGAAAAATAAAACTAAGCCAATAATGTCACCCTCGTTTGCCTCAAATATAAACAACACAAATCATTAATAAAGAATCACTTAATACATACCTACCACAATATTTATTCAGAACATAAATGTAAAAAACAAAAAAAAAAATATTTTTGCAAGTAATTTTTAGTCAAATATTATTCTATTATATATCTACTTATGTGTATTACTGGATAGAATGTGTACCTAAATTATTGTGTTGTTTAAACAAGGAGCGGTTTTGAGAAGTAAATTTTGAAAATGGACTCTGAAATCACTATTGAATTTCAATATTCAACTTGAAAAATATATATATTTATAGAAATTGAAATTTTTCTGCTATATTGGACACGGATTGTTTAATTTTATAATACTCACTGAATATATTGTATGGTATTATAATATACAGGTAGATATACGTATTAGCATAGTATTTATATACCTTATTAGGTATACTTTCGTACTGTGTGTGTTTTAAAATGATTTGGCTCGATAATTGGTGTTTTATATTTCCAATTACTATTTAAAGAAAAAAAAAACAGTCATTTATTAATTAAGCTGATAAAAATATTAATTCTGCTGAGCTGATTCTCTTAAAATAATCAGCTCCTTCTTACTTTATTCGGCTATTATCCAAATTTTGAATAAAACATTGATTAAAATGTGTTCAATACAATTAATTATTAATTCTATCGAGCCATATCACATTTTGTATTACGTGTGTACTTATGACATGACTTACAAGCCTTTTAGTATGGTTCCTATACAATTTCTTACTGTCAATGAAAAAATTTTTCATTACTATAGTTGTGTTAGCAAAATAGTGTGAAAATGTCACATGCATACTTCATTATCTAGTGTAAAGTTATATTTTGTTGAAAAACTACATGATATTTATATTATTGTTCCCAATTTTAAAACAGACTGTCTATCTGCACTATATTTATAACATTATTCATTATTTTCTTACTAACTTTTTCAAATCTTTACTGTCTTTAGTCTGTGCAGTAGTTACCCGTAGCCTTATTGTTTTTAATTCCAACTACTTAATTAAACCCACTACTTATTGGATAGAATAACAGGATTTAGTAGAGAAGACATTGTAAAATAATTGATGTGTAAAACTGTAGGAAAATTAAATAAAAATTGTTTTCCCTATCATGCCGACATGTACACCTTAGCAGAAATAAAAATAAAATTATATGTACCTACCTATTGTTGTATTTGTATGTAATATTATGATCTACCTATTTGTTCGCATAAAACATTTACATAATTGTGTTGTAATATAATTGTGCTGTCAGAATAAAATATTGTTTTATTTCATTTCATTCAATATTTCCGTTGTGTAAGAGTTTTGAAAGTTACAGCTCCTTGCCCGATTGGCGCTTTCAGAGCTGTCTTTCCTTTACACGTAAGACATATATGGTCACAATGTGGAAAGCTTGACAATTAAATTAATTGTGAAATTAATTCGTAACAGAATCAATTATTAAATAAAAATGTGATAAAACGCAGCAATCAACTAAAACATATTATAAAATTATACAAGCCAATTTATTACAACAAAAAAATTTAACATCGCGGTTCCATTACACGCAGCATATTGAATCGCGTTCCAGATTTTCCCTTTTGTGGACCACAACTGAACTCCTCGCACTCGTTTGTTACATATCTTGCTATCTCTGTCTATCAAGAATTTATGGTTCAAATATATACTATGCTGACAGTTACCAAAGAAACCACAGATAACAAAACAATCAGTTTCGTCGGTGATCAACAAAAACTACGCGGTGCCGAAACTGTAAATAAAATAATAGAAAAACGTGAAATTTAGTGTTAAATTGAAAAATGAGTGGTCCTAACGGGATGCTGTATGGTGGCGATGAAATAGGCGCGTTGGTTTTCGATCCTGGGCATCATTCCTTGCGCGTTGGTTATGCTCAAGAAGATACGCCTAAAGCCGATATTCCGGCTGTGGTTGGCGTTGGACCAGCCACCCATATCCCTGAACCTGAGGAGAAGGTCCCTGATGGCAATGTCACGCAAAGCGGTAAGGTTATATACTAAATTTTTTTTTAATCTGACGAGCATTTTTTGTTGCCGCTTTTTCTCCGAACATTCGTTGTTACTAACTTTCTAAGCTTGTAATATCTATGTTTATATCTGTTTGTTTATGATTCTAGTGTAAAACAATATTTAGTCGATATTCCTGTCACTCAGAAGCATTTGTTTATTGTCAAAACAAAGTTGCTACAATGAAACAGAAACAAAAGTTTAGCATTAGAATATTACTATTGGTACTTTTGGAACCTTATCTAGGCCCTTCAAAGTCAAAGTCAAAGTCAAAATCATTCATTTCAATTAGACCACAAAGGCACTTTTGAACGTCAACAAAAAAATTAAAAGTGAAGCTATTTGCTGTTCCAAGGTGTTGATTCCTATGAAGAAGAACGAGCAAGAAACTCCATAGGTTACTCTTTTTTAATCGGGTTCATAATACAATTCTCTACTTACATAGTTTTGTTGTTTGGATTGTGCTAGAACAATGTAACACTAAAATCCAGCCAAAGAGGTTGAAGAAAAAAATAACCTTAAGGACAATAAATAATACGGTCTGGAGCTGACCAGTCCCAATTGACGGCGCCCGTTCACAAACATGACACATACACCAGTACCGCCCAACTCAACCATATTGTAGGGAATCAAGTGATCCACTGCACGCGCTACCTTAAATTTATTTCTACTATTTTATTTGTTACTTTTAGCTCCCATATAACATGAACATAGTTTTACACAAAATTAATGATTACCTCAAACACTTCAGATATTATTTTAATACAAAGCGAGAACTTTCTATCACATATGTGAAGAAATACTAATTCTAATAATCTTCTCAAACAACTGTGATTGTACTGGAATATATACTGATTCAAAATCATAATCATTTCCTAACTGAATTTTTCACTGCTGACTCACTCATAGGTTTTGTTGTAAATGTGCATATTATACACTAGCTACTTCCACGCGGTTTCACATGCTCTTAGTGTGATGTTTTATAGCCTATAGCCATCCTCGATAAATGCGCTATCCAACACAAAAATAATTATTTAAATCAGACTTGTAGTTACGGAGATTAGCGCGATCAAACAAACAAACAAAAAAAGAAACTGTTCCGCTTTATAAAATTGTCTAAGATGAAAAGACAGCTATCAAATTAAAACCTTTTTTCTATTAACCCGTTGAAATTCATCCCCTAAATTTGTTCATACAAAAGTAGTCTCTAAACATTGGAAATAAGGTCTATAATGTAGGTAGTGGAGAGCGGTCACCAGTAACTGCTTGGGGATGTATGGATTAATAATAATAAATGAATGTTTTTGAATTTGCATGTATTTTTGTTACCTAGTTGTTAGTCAATTACGCTAAAACAACTGAAGGGATGGGGTTAAAAATTAGAACAGGGTTCGATTATAGTTTTCAATAACACATAGCCCACTCTTTATCCCACGTGAATGTGTGCAAAGCTTGTATCTATATCTATATTCTATATAATATATAAAAACGAAACCCGTTTCCCGTTGTCATGCTATAGCTTGAGAACTCCGCGGATACCGCACGATCTCTGGGGAGTCGGCGAACCTCCTTGCCGGATTACCGCCGTGGGATCTGGAGGCGAAGGTGCTCGCGCGCGTGCACAGCATGCGCGCGGAGGCACGTCGCCGGGGCGAAACTCCGCTGCCGCGCCAGATAAGTGCGTGGCGGGATGAGCTCCGGCGCGATCTCATGGCGGAATGGCAGCAACGACTGTCGCAACCGAGGGCTGGGCTCGCTGCCATCGCAGCGGTAAGTCCCCTCTTTGAGGAGTGGCTTGAGAGACGCTACGGCGTCCTCACCTACCGCCTGACGCAGGTCCTCACCGGACATGGAAGTTTCGGGAGGTACCTGTGTCTGATGGGGCGGGAGGAAACGCCCGGGTGTCATCACTGCGAGGACCGCCCTGAGGACACGGTGGAACACACGGTGGGAGAATGCCCTTCGTGGGCTGAGCACCGCCGTGTCCTCAGGGAAGTGATCGGCGATGGCGACCTCTCGCGTCCGGGCCTAGTGCAGGCCATGATGCGGAGCGAGGGGGATTGGGATGCCGTCTCCTCCTTTTGCGAAGCAGTCATGCTAGCTAAGGAGGAGGCGGGACGCGTGAGGCAGCGAAGCGCTGCCTCCTCGCAACCCAGCCATCGCGAAGGACACACCGGGCGTCGGGGATCGCGGGACGATCTCCGGCCACCGTAAGCGCGGGCCTGCGGACGGCGAGCATGGGTGGCTCCCCGTCCGACCAGAAACAGACCCGAGCGTACGGCGCGTCGCGTTCCGCGCGCGCCTCAAAGAGCCATCAGACCACCACAGATGGGGCCCAATAGGGCCGATGCCGATTCGGAGTCGCGGAGAACCTAACGGGTAACCGGGGCTCCGGCTCGACGTGCAGGAGAAGGAACGGGGTGGTTTTTAGTCAGTAAGAGTCTGACACTCCCTC